TCTTTTTGCTTATGTGGTGCTGAGGAATCGAACCCAGGGCCTCATGCATGCAAGGCAAGCGCTCTACCACTGAGCCACCTTCCCAGCCCAAGACTTTTATCTTCAATAAACTACACAGAAAAAGCACTGTGGCTCATGGTAGAGCACTAGCCTTGAGCACAAAGAGGCTCAGGGACAGAGCCCAGGCCCTAAGTTCAAGATCCAGGACCACGAAGAAACAAACAAGAAAAAGCTCAGGGATAGATAGCACCCAGGCCCTGGATTCAAGCCCTAGGACAGGCACAAAAACAAAATAAAGCAAAAATAAACAAAACTACCAAAACAAACAAAAAAAAAACACAGATTTATTTCTAAAAAGAATATGTGCTAGCAAATAAATATATCTCTGGCTATCTAGTTAGCAGTCCCCCAAGCAGATTTAATTGACTTCATACCACCTGTTTCTGTAGCTATGACCATGTTACTGCTAGACATTTTCAGCCACACTAACTCTGACCCTTCTCCCATATACTTAGCTTGGCCATCAGAGACCCTTAGTGTGTGGGTGAGTGTGTATGTGTATGTGCTAGTCCTGGTACTGACACTCGAACTCAAGGCCTAAGCACGGTCCCTAAGCCTTTTCACTCACAGATAGCATTCTACCACTTGAGTTACAGCTCCACTTCTGGCTTTTTGGTGATAAATTGGAGATAAGAGTCTGATGGACTTTTCCTGCCTGGGCTGGCTTTGAACTGTAATCTTAGATCTTAGCACCCTGAGTAGCTAGGATTACAAATATGAGCCACCAAAACCCAGTTCAAAAGGTAATTTTTAAAAGCATGTGTCTCTATTAAATCTTCCCAGAGGTAATTACAATTTTTAAATACATTACAATTTTTTTACAATTACAATGTTTAAATAAATTACAATTTTTAAATACATTTTTTCCAGTTAAGACATTATACACTTTTATGTTATTTTCCTAGTAGCACAATGTATGTATTCATTCTGGGGGGAAGGTGGGGAGCAGTACTGCTGAACGAATTCAGGACTTTGTGTTTGTTAGGCACCCTATCACTAAATCATGTTTCTAGTCCTCTTTTTGTATTCACAGTTTTATGATAGGGTCTCATTTCTCCCCCAGGAATGAACCTGGACTCTAATCCTGTTTCCTACCTAGAATGACAGATGTATACCACCACAGCCATGTTGATAGGTCTGGCTATCTTTTTTGCCAGTGCCAGCCTGGAACCACAGTCTTCTCAATCTCTGAGTAACTAAGATTACAAACCTGAGCCATTGCACCTAACCTACGTGTACTTTTTTGGACCTAATTTCTTTCACATAATAATTCATTACTCCTAGTTACCTGGAAGGCTGAAATCAGAAGGATCATGGTTCAAGGCCAGACTGGGCAGAAAATCTGCAAGTCTCTTTCAAAATGGAAGAAACTGTGTGTGGTCATATACACCGAGGCAGGGCACAAGATCCTACCTCAAAATAATGTAAAAAAAGGGCTAGAGGCATAGCTTTCTAGCAGAGTGCCTGCCTCATCTAAAAAGTATAAGACTCTGAGATCAAATCCTAGTACAATGCCCCCAACCCCAACAACAAAAAAAAATAATACAACATATCTCAAAGGTCACAACATATTTTTTTAAACAGTTGCCTTAGGGTTTTTTTTGAGCTATGCTGCATTCCTTGGTAATTTATGGCACAAACCATAGATTAACTAGTTCGTCTGTCAAAAACAAACAAACTTTTAGTTATTTGTCATTTTTACAAATGTTTAAAAAATCTAGAGATGAAAAAATCTGATGGCTGCCAATAGCTCAAACCTATCATCCTAGCTACTCAAGAAACTGAGATTTGGAAAATTACAGTTCAAGGTCAGCCAGAGAAGAAAATCACCAAATAACCATCAAAAAACTGTGCTGCAGACATGGCTCAACTGGCAGACCACTAGACTATTAGGTATGACATTCTGAGTTCAAATCTCAGTATGCCACCCCCTCAAAAAAAAGCTCTCTAAGGGGCTGAGGATATCACTTTTATTATAAAACTGTAGTAAGCATCATTCAGCCAAAAAAAGCAATTACTTACTCAAAAACTGGTATATCTTTGTTAGTGTGGCAAACAATTTGGATCACCAAATGAAGCTGTCTCTACCTGTATAATACACACTCTGATTTATACACAGACATGTCTGGAAATGTAAACTTTATCTCTGACTGTTCTGTAAATATCTCAGAGTCTAGTAAAATGAAAATAAAGGTATTCATTTATAGTAAGGAAGCAATTTTTTAGGAATATAATATCATAAAAATGTCTTTAACACATTTTTTTAAGACAGGAAATAAAGACTTACCGTCCAAAATTTTATAAAGTATTCTAAAACTGTTGTTGCCACGAAAAGGCAATATAATAGGGAATACAACAAAAACAGCAGGAAAAATTTGTAATTAGAAAATCCCACACAGTTATTCACCCTAGAAGAACAAAGAAAGTCACACTATAAAAATAAGACAGATCACAAATTCACAGAAATAGAAAGCAGAATGGGGGTTGCCAAGGGCTGGTAGGAAGGTTAATGGAGAATTGCTCAATGAAACACAGTTAAAGTTTTACAAGATATTCAGGTTCTGGGGAATGTATAAGTATATAAATATACTTAACTATTGAACCCTATACTTACAGAAATAGTTAAGGTCATATATTTCATGTTTTTTTAACCATAATAAAAAAGTAAGAAATCAGAAAACATTATTATTTATTAATGGACCATTTGGGAAAAAAGAGTCAGTCTCATAAATATACAGCTGAGTGGGTGGCTCACACCTATAGACTCCTTGCTACTCAGGGGGCTCAGGATCAAAGTCTGAAGTCAGCCCACGCAGGGAAGTCCATGAGACTCTTATCTCCATTTAACCTCCAAAAAGCCAGAGAAGGAAGTGTGGCTTAAGGGGCAGAGCATTAGCCTTAAACACAAAAGTTCAAGGACAGCATTCAGGCCCTGAGTTCAAACCCCTGTACACACATACACACACACACACACACACACACACGCACATACACACACACACGCATGCACACACACGTGCACACACACACACAAAGCTTTAGATACATATGCTACATGTAATTATATCAATTTTATCTATTAAATTGACCTTCCAAACATAACTATGGCAGAGGGGGTTAGGAGTCCATCCCAATAGAAAGGCTTTTTTAGCCTGTGTGAGGTTCTAGGTTTCATGCTCAGATGTAGAAAGAAAATTAATAATACTGAAGTAAATAACTATAAATTCTCTTCTTTCCAACTCTCCACCCCTTAGGGCATTTTTTCTTTGTAATACATACCACGGGCAGTGATGATCCATTTTAAGAATACATCTAAGAAAAAAAATAAGTATAAGAAAATTTAGGCAGAAGTCAATTCTAATTTCTTGTAATTTTTTTCTCACTTAGAAATTTCCCTTTAAATGATACCATAAGAGAACAAACTCAGAAGCATTAGGTTAGATACAATTTCTGATACTTTTGTGGGTACAGGGTCATAATTATTTAGACTTTTAAACCAGCTGGGCAGATCTACTTCAGTGTACTATATATATGAAATGACATTTTAATAGTCAGCTTTGAGGACAATACTTGCCACATTAGAAAGGTCTACCTTAAAAATTAGTTGAAGGTAGAATGTAATGAAAAGATTCCTATGTTTAAATATTAACATCATAAAAATATTAGAAGTGAATATTCTTTTTTTTTGGGGGGGGGTCTGGTCGTGGGGCCTGAACTCTGGGCCTGGGCACTGTCCCTCAGCTCTTCAGCTCAAGGCTAGCGTACTACCACTTGAGCTACAGCACCACTTCCGGCTTTTTTCTTTTTGCTTATGTGGTGCTGAGGAATCGAACCCACGGCTTCATGCATGCAAGGCAAGTGCTCTACCACTGAGCCACCTTCCCAGCCCCTAGAAGTGAATATTCTAAAACAGCAACACTGATGGGACTAAAAATGGTTCTTTCCATATTTGCCAATACAAATTTACACTACTTATAAGCAATACTATACCAGCTGGGTGCTGGTGGCTCATGCCTGCAATCCTAGCTACTCAGGAGGCTGACATCTGAGGATCATGGTTCAAAGCTGGCTGAGCAGAAAAATCCATGAGACTCTTATCTATAATTAACCATCAGAAAACTAGAAGTGGTGCTGTGGCTCAAGTGGTAGAGTGCTCGCCTCAAGCTGAAGAACTCAGAGACAGCGCCCAGGCCCAGACTTCAAGTCCCATGATCAAAAAACAAAAACCAAACACTCATATTTGCCTCCTTAATAGTAACTTTACAATTGCATAAAGTTACCTATAAGTCAACTCAAGTAATATATAACAAATGTGAACCTTAAAGCCCTTGTTTACTTCAAGAGCAATGATTAATTGAGGTTCCAAGCAGTCTTTTCTTTGATACACTCACTTTCCTATATATGCCACAGAGGTAAATTATTTTACCTTTTTCTAGTTAAAAAAAACTGAAGGAAAACCTCCAAAATTACTTTATTAACTTTTAGATTTTAATATCAGTATCAGTAATAAGAATTGAGTCAGGAGCTGGTGGCTCACATCTGTAATTCTAACTGCTCAGAAGGCTGAGAGCTGAGGACTGAAGTTCAAATCAATCTAGGTAAGAAAGTCTGTGCCATTCTTATTTTCAATTAGCTGCGAAGAAAAAAGAACCAGAAGTGGAGCTGCGGTTCAAGAGCGTGAATGCCAGCCTTGAGCAAAAACCAAAGGGACAGCACTTAGGCTGTATGCAAGCCCCACTGGTAGGACACAATAGTTACATAAACAAGTAGATACATACATAAAAATAACAGTGGCTCACGCCTGTCATCCTAGCTACTCAAGAGGCTGAGATCTGAGCATCACGGTTCAAAGCCAGCCGGGGCAGGAAAGTCCATGAGACTCTTATCTCCAATAAATCACTAGAAAACTGGAAGTGGCGCTGTGGCTCAAGTGGTAGAGTGCTAGCCTTGAGCTGAAGAGCTGAGGGACAGCACCCAAGCCCAGAGTTCAAGCCCCACGACCAAAAAAAAAAGTAAAACAAGCAAGCAAACCATCATTAAAGTCTTTTTAATAAAAAAGTTACCTTTCTGAAGAGGGTTATAATTATTACCTTGTCAATATCATATTAAGTATAAAAACAGAAAGCATACTTAAGGAAAATTCTGTCCACCAGTAGAAAACTTATCATATATATTTTGCATATATTTTGGCTTGCATAAATGTTTTTTGCTAGCTATTTATCCACAGCAAATAGAAGAGGACAAAATACTTTTGCTAAATATTTTTCTTCAGTTTGCTTTTTCCTTTAAGCTTATATAGAGCATAAAATGTCAATTTCTCCTCTCTTTTCCCCATCACTGATTTCCAGTGTTGGGCTTAAATGAGAGCAAAGGAGTAACACTTACGTGTCACATGCAGAGCAGTGATGCGCCCGATCAGGTTTAATCAATTGACATTTTTCACAGTATCTGATAGCTACATGAAAGAGGTAAAAGAAGATGCTGAAGGATGTACAAATTGAAGTATTTTGATGGTAAGGCTTAATTTTTAAAATAAACAACTGTGGTCAATGGACAATTAAACAGTTTTATTAGCACACATTTGTTATACCTGGGGGGGTGTCACTGTGGCATTTAAACACATGTATATAATGTGTTCCAATCAGTCTCACCCCCTCCTCCATTATACTCCCTTACATTACCTACTTCCGAAAACAATTCCAACAATTTTCTTGTTCTATTTTTCTTTTGGTCAGTCATGGAGCTTGAACTCAGGGCCTGGGCACTGACCCTGAGCTCTTTTTGCTCAAGACTAGCACTCTGCCACTTTGAGCTAAAGTGCTACTTCTGGTTTTCTGGTGTTTAACTGGAGATAAGAAATCTCATGAACTTTCCTGTCCAGGCTGGCTTTGAACTGAAATACTCAGAACTCAGCCTCCTGAGTAGTTAGGATTGCAGACATGAGCCACCAGCACCTAGCTTTAATTTAACAAGATGAACAACCAAAATGCATTGGGGAAGTTCACAAAACAAAAAGTCATGATAGAAGAGAACCTGAGAAATGTGAACATATTATTAATATGCAGCAAAAATAATGAATGACAAGAGTAAAACATGCTCTGTTCGGGGGACAGGTCCAGCAGGAGGTGGGAGGGGTGAATGAAGACAGTGGGAAAACTTTATACACACGTATGAAAACAGAACAATGAAGCAGTTGAAAGGGTTTTAAGAAGGGTGCGTGGGAGATAAAGGAGAGCCGTAGAGAGAGTAGGTGGATGGAGAGGATACATTGTATGTATGTATGAGAATGTCACAATGAGCCTGCCTCCGTACAATTAAGGTACACTAAAAAAATCCTAAAAAAATAAACAGATTGTTTTAACTTAGCTATCATATACTTAAAGTACAGGAAATAAAATTTGTTGAAAAGTTTATACATGCCAAGATGTTCACATTTATACCATCTAATTTAATATGCTGCAGGGCACCGGTGGCTCACGTCTGTAATCCTAGCTAATCAGGAGGTTGAGATTTGAGGATCAGAATTTAAAGCCAGCCTGGGCAGGAAAGTCCACGAAACTCTTATCTCCAGTAAACCACTAGAAAACTGGAAGTGGTGCTGTGGCTCAAGCACTAGAGCGCTCACCTTGAGCGGAAGAGCTGAGGGATAGTGCCCAGGCCCAGAGTTCAAGCCCCACGACCAACCAAAAAAAAAATTTAATATGTCTACCAAACCAGATATAATGACATTCTTAATTTAGGTATGTATATGTATGTATTAATTATGTATATGATAGTGCTGGGTACTGTCACTGAGTTTTTCATTGAAGACTAATGCTTTACACTTGAATCACAGCTGCACTTCCTGTTTTTTGTTTGTCTGTTTTTGTCGGTCATGGGGCTTGAACTCTGGGCCTGGATGCTGTCCCTAAGCTTTCAGCTCAAGGCTAGCGCTCTACCACTTGAACCACAACACCATTTCTGGTTTTCTGGTGGAGATAAAAATCTCACTGAGGTGCCTGTTCCAGCTGGCACTGAACCTCGATCCTCAGATCTCAGCCTCCTGAGTAGCGAGAATTACAGGTGTGAGCCACCAGTGCTCAGCCCGAGAGGGCTGGCTTTGAACCACAATTCTCAGAGCTCAGCCTCCTGAGTAGCTAGGATTACAGGCATGAGCCACTAATGCCCGCTTATTCTCATTTTGAAATGAAGAATGAAAGCCTTAGAAAGTTCAAGTAATTTGTACTGTAGCCGTAACAGAAAAACTGCACTGTAAAATCTTAGTATTAAGTGCATTTTAAAGTCAATCAGATTATCTCCTAAAATTTTTTTTCTCATTGTGCATGCTAATGTCTTGATTCAGGGCTTTTCCATCACTTGAGATAAGCCTCGAGCCCATAAACTGTCTTGATTTACAAGTTGCCCATCACCCTATTTCCCTCTGGAGCTGAAAAGCCCAGTGGGTTCTGGATTGAAATCTCTTTCTCACATATGGCCCATATGACATTGAACAAGTAACTCAACTTTCTCTGTGTCTAAATAGATTCACCCTGACATGACTGCAGCCACTGGGAGTTATGGGGAGTTATGGCTGCCATGACTGTACCAGAGTAATCCTAGCTGGTTTTCTCTGCATAGCTGCCCACACTCTAGGAGTCGACAAAGTCATTGAAGCAGTATGTTCAGCTTTACATAATGCCTGGTGCCTGATTCTTGACAGAGAATAATCAGGTACTTTCTGGGTTAAATGATGTCATTTTGGTCTAAACATGTAGACCCATCGGGGATCCACTTGATCTTCCTGCTAAGCAGGACCAAGTTTCTGTTAGTAAGTCTTTCAATAAACGGCACGTGGTGCTCTTCTGGATCTGTGTTGCCTCTTCTCTCTGGTCACCATGCCTTAGGCTGGTTCTCATACAATGGACCTTCATGTCCCAGAATAGTGCCTTAGTTTCTTCATATGCAAAATAGGCACTATGGTACCTACTTCATAGGGGGTTTGTTTTTTGTCTGTTTTTTGTTGCCAGTCCTGAAGCTTGAACTCAGAGCCTGGGCACTGTCCCTAAGCTTCTTTTACTCAAGGCCAGCAACTCTACCACTTGAGCCATAGTACCACTTCTGGCTTTTTCTGTTTATGTGGTACTGAGGAATCCAACCCAGGGTTTCATACATGATAGGCAAGCATTCTACCTCTAAGTCACATTATGTTTTAAATGAGTTCATATGTAGGAGCTGGAAAGGTGGCTCAGTGGTAGAATGCTTTCCTCTCATGCATCAGGCCCTGGGTTCGATTCCTGAGCACCCACATAAGCAGGAAAGGCCAAAGTGGCGCTGTGGCTCAAGTGGTAGAGTGCTAGCCATTGAGCTGAAGAGCTGAGGGATAGTGTCCAGGCCCAGAGTTCAAGCCCCACGACTGAAAAAAAAAAAAAAAAGAGTTCATAAGTAAAACACAACTGACATTATTGTCTATTGTTTAAATCAATTAATGAAGTGTGTAATATATACTTTAAAACAAATTCCTATACTTAAATGAACAGCTTAGTCACTCACAGATTCCCCTCATCAAAAGGCTAACTCTGAGAAAGGAAAGTGCTGTTTCAGTCATGAACCTCAGTGAAACAAGTGGTACAGAAGCTGGGCGCTGGTGGCTCATGCCTGTAATCCTGGCTACTCAGGAGGCTGAGATCTGAGAATCGCATTTCAAAGCCAGCCTGGCAGCAAAGTCTGTGACACTCTTATCTCCAATAAACCACCAGAAAAGCGGGAGTGGCACTGTGGCTCAAGTGGTAGAGTGCTAAGCCTTGAGCTGAAGAGCTGAGAGAACATGCAGGCCCAGAGTTCAAGTCCCACAACCGACAAAAAAGTGGTACAGAGGAAAGAGCATGAGTTCAGAGCTAATAAACATGACTTCATGGCTTGGTCTCTGAATATCAGCTGTTTGGGTTAAGTTTCTCCTAACCTTCTCCCTTTCCCTTTCTTCCCTGCTTTACATTTTGATACAGGGGGTTGAACTTGGGGCCTGCTTGAGCCACACTCTCAGCCTTTTACTTGCAGTTTGCTTTTTGGGTAAGGTATCCTGTTTTTGCCCCAGCTGGCCTCAGACCGTGATTCTCCTCCCTACAGCCTCCAGAAGAACTGGGATTATAGGCCTATACCACCACACCTGGAACCTTTTTATGTTGGACTTGCTCCTCATTCTTAGCAAGTTCTGGATTTATTACTCAGTGTTGACACATAATAAACCAATTCAAACCAGAATTTCCAAATGATGGCTTACTAGGAATAATACTTGAAATTTTTAAATATAAAAGGTGAGTTGGGAGAGAATAATAGGTAGAAGATAGAGATTCATATTAAAATGAGCCCCTTACAGTCTTTAACTCCTATTTCCTATGAGAGGAACAAGAAATATTTCTCTCTGACATTTCTCCTTACTTCATAATCCTGTTTTACTAAAATAAATCCTGGCTAAAATTTTTTAAAAAAGCAAGCTCCTTAAGAAAATCTGATGAGATAATTACATATCTATCTATATGTAAAACACCATGAAGAAAAAGAAACTAGTTCATCTTTTTCCAGTAGACACCAATTGTGACCAATCATTGTATATGCACTTAATTATCAATCCATGTAAATGTACCCTGGAGAAATAAACACCATGGGGGCGGGAGGGGTATTATCAGGGTTTGAAGTCTGAGCCTCAAAACTACTGGGTTGGCTTGTTCTGTTAGTACACTACTACCTCTTTTTTTTGGGTGGGGATGGGGGGGTCCGGTCGTGGGGCCTGAACTCTGGGCCTGGGCGCTGTCCCTCAGCTCTTCAGCTCAAGGCTAGCGTACTACCACTTGAGCTACAGCACCACTTCCGGCTTTTTTCTTTTTGCTTATGTAGTGCTGAGGAATCGAACCCCACGGCTTCATGCATGCAAGGCAAGTGCTCTACCACTGAGCTACCTTCCCAGCCCCAAGACTTCTTTTTATATATATATTTTTTTTCTATTGTGAAAATACTGTATAGAGGGGTTACAATTACATGGGCAAAATAATGAGTACATTTTTTATCAAGCATTGTAGCCTCCTCCTTTGTTTCCCCTTCCCCCCCCCCCCCCCAACTTCCCCTTCTAAGACTTCTTTAAAATCTCTCTGACTGGGCTGGTTATTTGGGATGGAAGGTCTTTTACTTCCTAAAGTACACTTGAACTCAGGCTATACTACTAATATGGGAAGGCAAGAAGAGATGTTAGCAATACATAGAAAAATGTACTAGGAGCTGGGTGCTGGTGGCTCACACCTATAATCCTAGCTACTCAGGAGGCTGAGACCTGAGGATTACAGTTCAAAGTCAGCCTGGGTAAGAATGTTCCTGAGACTTTTATCTTCAATTAACCATCAGAAAACTGGCAGTGGCACTGTGGCTCAAGTGGTAGAGTGCTTGCCTTGGTCTAAAGTGCTCAGGGACAGAGCCCAGGCCCAGAGTTCAAGCCCCATGACTGACCCAAAAAACAAAAACAAAAAAAAGTACTACGCAAGAATACAGAAGGCCAACATCTTAATAGCAGCTCTACTAGTAATTCTGTAATCTTTGACAATTCCCTAATCTTTTGGGTGTCATAATTTTCTGAATCCGGCTCTTATCATATAACAAAATAAACAACATTGTTAAGCTGTTAGCAGTGATTGGGGCAGCAAATGTATTGGATGTTTTGGTATTTGAGTCAGCAGGTAGAAAAACAAAGTGCTCCTTAAGCACTTGAAACTTCCAGTCAGAATTTCTTAGGAGTGAGTGTGTGCGCGTGCGTGCGTGCGTGTGTGCGTGTGTGTGTGGGGGGGTGTTTGTTTGCCAGTCTTAGTGCTTGAAGTCAGGGTCTGGGTGATGTCCTTGAGCTTTTTTTGCTCAAGGCTAGCTTTCTACCACGTGAGCCACAGCGCCACTTCCGGCTTTTTCTGCTTATGTGTTGCTGAGGAATTGAACCCAAGGCCTCATGCATGCGAGGCAAGCACTCTACCACTGAGCCACCTTTCCAGCCCATGTCCCTGCGTTTTTGTTTTTGTTTTTTGCTCAAGACTATAGCGTAATTCACTAAAACACTTGAAACACAGTTGCACTACTATCTTAAAATTCAATGTTCAGATGATGCTACTGAAACATCAATTAGGCTCCTTTTACAATGTTTTCAACAGTCATTATTACTAGGAATTACTATAATAAAATTAGGTCCTTTGCAATGTTAAGAGATTAATAGTTGGGGCTGGGAAGGTGGCTCAGTGGTACAGTGCTTGCCTTGCATGCATGAGGCCCTGGGTTTGATTCCTTAGCACCACATAAGCAGAAAAAGCTGGAAGTGGCACTATGGCTCGAGTGGTAGAGCACTAGCCTTGAGCTGAAGAGCTCAGGGACAGCGTCCAGCCCCATGACTGATAAAAAACAAAACAAAACCAAGAGATTAATAGTTTATTTCATTCAACATTTATTAAACACCCACCATGAACTGAGAAATTAAGTAGTTTATAGCATAACTTTAAGGGCTATTATCAAGATCTCATGAATATGGTTGAAGAAACCTTTAGGAGATTTACTTTTCTGTGTGTGTTGCCAGTCCTGAGGCCTGAACTCAGAGCCTGGGTACTGTCCTTGAGCTTTTATGCTCAAAGCTGGTGCTCTACCACTTGGGAAGCTCTACTTTTGACTTTTATTTTTGATGCTTAGTTGGAAATAAGTCTTACAGCGTTTCCTGCCTGAGCTGGCTTCAAATTGCAATCCTTAGATCTTAGCCTTTTTTTTTTTTTTTTGATCAGACCTAGGACTTGGAACTCTGAGCCTGGGTATTGTCCTCAGCTCTTCAGATCAAGGCTAACACTCTACCACTTGAGCCACAGTGCCACTTTTCTGAGTGGTTTATTGGAGATAAGAGTCTCATGGACTTTCCTGCCTAGGCTAGCTTTGAACCGTGATCCTCAGATCTCAGCCTTTTGAGTAGCTAGGATCACAGGCGTGAGCCACCAAGTTTTTGGCTTTATGGTTTACTTTTTTTTTTGTTAAATAAAAATATTCAAAAGGTACACAATGGGCAAGGAATTTATCTACTGATGTTTATTATACATAGCACATATGATATGTTCTGCTCTTTGTACATGATGCTTTAGTCTTAGGGGTCTTCACAAAAGAACCACACATACATTCCCCAAGATGTTTCAGAAAGCCTATTTTTCATGATTCTTCCAAACAGACTACTAACAGTAGCTCTGGTAAATAAACTGTATTATATGCCACCAAAGAATCCTATATGATAATGAAAATGAACGATCTACCACTACCTACAGCCACACAAGTGAATCTCACAAACAGAATGCAAGCTGCACAAGCATACAGACAATGGCTACTACATGTATTACTTCATGATGATTCGTACTGAAGAGAAAACTAGACAAAAATCAACCCTTGCTGGTGAAAGGCTGAAGAGTGATTTCCATGATATGGATGACCAGAAGGAAGCTTGAGGGGACTGAGGGGGCTGGGAATGATCAGTTTCCTGAAACTGTGCCTAGCAGTAGTTAAAAGGTGTATTTAGCTTGTGAAATCTTATCAAATGGAAATTTATAGCATGTATTCTTTTTACATGTGTGTTTAACAAAGTGTTCAATGGAAGCTGATTTTTTTTACCATATGATAAATATCTTCAACATGAAGGGAAACAATTACCATCATTATCTAATATTTCACTGGGATAAATCTAATTTAGCTCCATTTTGTGATTAAAAAATAATCTCAGAGAGATCACATAATGTGTTAGAGTAGAAAATAAAATCCAGATTAGTTTAATTCTAGGGAATATTTTTAAAAATTTTTTTTCCTGGGCTGGGAAGGTGGCTCAGTGGTAGAGCGCTTGCCTTATATGCCTGAGGCCCTGGGTTCGATTCCCCAGCACCACATAAGCAAAAAGAAAAAAGCCGGAAGTGGTGCTGTGGCTCAAGTGGTAAGAGCGCTAGCCTTGAGCTGAAGAGCTGAAGGACAGCACCCAGGCCCAGAGTTCAGGCCCTATGACCGGACCCCCACCAAAAAAAATTTTTTTTTTCCTCTAAGGGAGGAGTTTGAAACAAAATCCACCCATGTAACACACTCAGGATCTTCCTGCCTCAGCCATCCAAACGCTAGGATTATAGGCATGTGCCACCATGCCTTACTCAGTGAATCTTTCATTTCCTCTCCTTTTTCCCCTCCCCTTCCCTTTTTTCCTTCATTCTTCTTACACCTTCCTTCTTTCTCTCTCTCCCTCCACTTCTTTCTTCACCCCTCCTCTTTTCTCTCCCTCTTCTGCTTCTCGTTTCCTCCTCCAGCCTTCTCATTCAGCCTCTCTCTACCTTCTTCCCTCACCTTTCTCTCTCTCTCTCTGGTGGTACTGAAGAGTGAAATTAGGGTCTTGAGATTGCTTGCTAGACAGCCTTTTTTCTAGTTAGTTTTTAGATAGGGTCTCATGTTTTTTGCTCGAGATGACCGCCAATTACCTACAGGTAAATGTTTATTATAGATGTAGTCAACCACACATGGCCAAGGATTCTAATTTTGATTATCTAGTTATATAGGGGGGAAAAAAACCCAACAAACTAATCACAGTAAGATGTAGGAAGCAATGACCTGAACAATTTTTTACCACCACTTTTTTTAGTTGTAGTGTATTTGTTCTTGCCTAAGAAAATATACTAAGAGGGTTTCCAAAAATACATTACTTCCATAACTCAATGTGTCCCTTAGGACTTTTACCTCAGAAATAAAGAGTATGTTTTTAATTTAAGGAAATAAACAGGTGATGGTGGCACATGCCTGTAGTTCTTGGGAGGCTGAGATCTGAGGACTGTGGTTTGAAGCCAGCGTGGGCAGAATTAATCTCCAATTAATCAGCAAAAAGCTGAAAGTAGAGCTGTGACTCAAGTGGCAGAGTGCCAGCCTCTAATGAAAAAGCTAAGGGACAACATCCAGGCCCTGAGTATATATATATTTTTTTAATATAGAGAGAGTCAGAGATATTAGTACAACTGAACTTTTTACTACAGTAAACCAGTGAATTGTGTATCTGAAAATAGGCTATGACTCACATTCAAAATACAGTTAGTAAACAATTTTATGAATGGAAACAAAACAAATATATTATATAAAGTCTTAACTAGGTAACACAAGGGAAAACATTTCCATCATCAGTTAAAGCATTTGTCAATTAACCAACATTGACTTTACCTCTTTGGAGGGGGTAGCGGGAGTTGTGAATATTGTCATCCCATAGGACCATACAAACATAACAAAGAACAGATGGAAAGCCACAAGGTAAACAACGGTCTTTCCTGGCAAATAAAAACAAATAACATTTCAATGAGTCCAAGTGACAACAGGAAAAAGCATTACATAAAAAATACATTATCTGGGTCAGGTGACCAGATCCAATTAAAAAAAATTAAGACTCATTAAAACATCAAATACGTATAATTCTTTTACTTGCATACTGACATTAATAGATATGAGAAAATATTCTGTCCCTATTTTTAAGGGATTATCAGTCTGGTCTGTAACTAAAGACTACCTAAGCTGAGATTTGACAAGTTCCTGAGGTTGTTTCAAGTCTCTGGGTTGTTTCTTATTTATTTATTTAGCCGTGAACTCACTATGTAGCCCAAACTAGATTCAAACTCATTCAGCCTCCTTAGTGCTAACAGGTGTGCACTGCCACTATGCCCAGCCAACTTGTATTTTAAGTTTTCCCTAAATGTTCATTTTAAACAACTTGAATTTTTTTAGAACAATCAAGACTGAATATTAAATCCAACAATAGTAAATGAAAGTAAATCATGAAGTAAATGGTAAGTGAAAGTAAATCGCCAATTATGATGGGCAAATTTAAATAACGCTACCCTGTATTCTTCAGAACAGATATCTTTTTTTTTTTACCCTTCACATCCCTTCCCAGCCTCCCCCCTCCCCCCC